TCTGATATGCTGTGATATAAATGGAATATGAATAAATAAGAGTAATGGCCAAAATCGATGAAGTCATTTTCACTGATGTATATATTCACGAAGCCACACTGTTCATATCTAAGAGGGTAAATACAACGTGGGCTGCATCAGCCCACGCCAACAGCGACAAGCAGTGCACTGCTCTACCTAATGCATATCAGTAATTGCATAAAAACATGTTTTTCATTTTTTGTATTGTTATGGTCGTGGACCTTTACGCGTTACCTGACATCTGATAAACACAGAGCACGTACCGGAGTAGTTACTGTCACTGTGTTGCCTTCGCAATCAGTTGATGGAGTTATTTATCTGTGTCCCGGAGCAATCAAATGAGTCATAACATTTATAGACGGTGCCCAGTCATCCAAGGTGGCGCAATGCGCTGCGCAGCCCTTGGTAACCCAGAATCATATGACCGTGGGTTCGAATCCTTGTTTTTCTCGATTATGTATCCAGGTCGGTCAACATCTAGCCAATGCTTGGGGGTTTCACCATGGTTATAAACGCCTGAGATCTGCTTTACTCCGGGGTTTTCTCCCCCTTTTAGCTGACCGTGATATTTAGGACGGCTCAACAACTACATGTTTCTATGAACTCTGTCCACTGATGTCTCTTAACTTGTTCCTTGACCCAGGGCGGTGCGGTAGCTTAGTGGTTAAGGCGTTCGCTCGTGACGCCGAAGACCCGGGTTCGATTCCCAACATGGGTTAAATGAGTGAAGCCCATTTCTGGTGTCCCCCGCGTGAGACTGCTGGAATATTGCTAAAAACGGCATAAAGCTAAACTCACTCCTTGACCCAACCCACAAGAACAGGAGATCAAAGTTTGCGAACACCCGGTGTCTTTGTTTACAGTGGTCATGCATTTACATGTAACTTCCGTTTTGTTTCTACTCTTCCTTTTGTATCCCGGCGGCGGGGTAGCCCGGTGGTTAAAGCGTTCGCTCGTCACACAGAAGACCCGGGTTCGATTCCCCACATGGGTATAATGTGTAAAGCCCATTTCTGGTGTCCCCCCGCCGTGATATTGCCTGAATATTGCTTAAAGCGGCGTTAAACCATACTCACTCACTCACTTCTTTTGTATTATTGCCACAGATAATGGAAAATGTATAACCAATAGCAGCAGTAACGTTTCTTTAAATCAAATACGATTATGAAAGGAACTTAGAACAGTGCACCAATATGTGTCAGTATTGGTATTTGCCTAGTTTGGTAGTTTGGTATAATCTCGCTAATTGATATTTTCCCATTTAGTCTTAACTCGAATGATCAATGTTTCTTCATTAGCCAATCCTACAAGAAAGAAGTAGGTGTGGTGGGTTTTTAATCAATAACATACTTCAATGTATGTGCTGCGTGCTTTGGTACGGACGTGACTTGGCATAATTGATAATAATTGAAACCATCTGCTAATTGGTTATATTCAATAATGAATTATGCACAGAATAGAAATGTTTGTGTCTATGGCCGACATTAGTGGCAAGGAAACCGCTGATGTTATTCAGATTCTTTCTTGTATACTTAAAAAACATATGCAAGATGAAAGGACAGTTGTCGCAATACAACCACACAAAAATGTTTATACTTTTATGGTTTTGTTTAAGCCAACAACTCAGCTGAAATGCTTCAAAAAATCAATAATTATTTCTTTAATATCGTTGTTTTTTTTATTTGGTTCATCGATCACATGATTGTCTGGTTTGTTTACATGCTACCGTTGCATGGCAGGAGTGTGTGAGTTTAGTTTTACGCCGCTTTTAGCAATATTCCAGCAATACCACGGCAGAGGACCCAGATCGTCGGCGTGACGAGCGAACGTTTTGACGTGCTACTATTCGTCGTCAGGATATGAATGCTACGTTTATGGCGAATGGTTTGAACGACGTGTGGTTGTGGTAGAGCAGGACATGCTCACCCTTTTCGAAAACACCCGGTGTCATCACTGATATCCAATGGTCCATATCATTTTCACAGGGAGTGAGTGAGTGAGTGTATTGGTCTTCAGCTGCCTGTGCTTAAAGACTAAAGGGATCGGGTGGTGTGGCTCTTGGAATTGGTTGATGTCTATCATGTAAATCGATGCCCCTTTTTGTGAGTTTACTCCAATAGGATACTTCTTACTCCTGGGGCGTTGGAGTAGCCGTGTGGTTAAAGCGTTCGCTCGGCAAGCCGAAGACATGGGTTCGATTCCCCACATGGGTACAATGACATCATTTCTGGTGTCCCCCGGAGCGCTATTGCTGGAATATTGCTACAAGCGCCCTTATACTAAATTCATAGTGTGTCACTAAAACACAGTGGCGTAACTGAAAAACCGGAACTGAAACAAAAATCCCACGTACTCATCCACGACACCTCTGGGGCGGTGGGGTAGCCTAGAAGTTAAAGCGTTCGCTCGTCACGCCGAAGATCCGGGTTCGATTCCCCACATATGTGTGAAGCCCATTTCTGGTGTCCCCCGCCGTGATTTGTTGGGGCATTGCCAAAATCGGCGTAAAAACATACTCACTCACTCCCGCACTCACCCCACGACACCTCTGAAACAATACAGAGCTGCAGTTGTCTAAAATTGATCAATGTTTCATTTTCCCTTACCTATCCTTTATCCAACCAATACAAATACGGCTCATTAAAGCAGGTTTGTAAGATCGGTCGGATAATTGATTTTAGAACAACGTTATGCAAACAGATCAAATAGCACAGGTTTCAAATAGGTCAAAGCTCTGAGAAAGGCTTGAGAGAACATATAGAACTAATGATATAAAATTCTATATATTGCATCATTCCATCATCCGTTTCTTTTACGCAACGCTATTGATATCTGCATTTGATATTAGATTTCAGAGAGGTCACTGCTTCCTTTCAGCTGTCATTGGTAATCTGTGCGCATATTCATTGGAGAAAAACGTCATCGGTCAAACTCCGCGTCTCTCGTAGACGCAGCTTGCGAGCGTACATATTTGTAGTTAGTAAAGGTCAGCCTGATCGAAGCTTATTCCTGTTGAGATCATGTTTTGAGAATCTTCCAAATTACGGGACTTCATGGGATATATTTATCTATCAGACCCGTCCAGACAGTATTTATACTACTCAAATTTATATTTTGATAATCAATAAAATATCCTATCAAGAAACGGCGTGGTTGGGTGTCCGGGTGTCCCTTGCAAAAATGAGTGATATCATGTGTTTCTTTCTGTGATTCGTGTTATTATGGCCAATATGCGGAAGTGTGTCTGTGTCTGTGTCTGTGTCTGTGTCTGTGTCTGTGTCTGTGTCTGTGTGTCTGTCTGTCTGTCTGTCTGTCTGTCTGTCTGTGTCTGTGTCTGTGTGGCATGTCTTCAGCCAACCATATCGATCACTAAACATTGTAAGGTTTTATCATCGTATTTTTCATCTGAACAATTGACCTGCCTCTGCATGCGTTTATGACGTGTATTACCAATGGGACAGGACACGTTTACCTGTTGCGCGAGCACTTTGTATCATTACTATTTGACAATGATTCAGAAACACATGTTCCCAACATAGACGGAACCGAACAGTTTACTGTGAGCAGATATTTTTTTTTTAAATTGTGGAAAGCCATCGCTGGTATTTGAGTGATTCTACTACAAGAAAACTATGTTGAAACACTGAACAAGGTACCTGGTGTCAACATCATGAGACGCGTTGCAATATTAAATGGAGAATAAACCGCTCTGTCCAATCCACACACGTTATGCACTGTTTCACTTCTAAAAACATTGAGTAAGTTCCGTGTCTAATGTGAATTTGGACCGTCTCATTATTTCTGATTGTACCTGATGTACAACCCTGCGATGGCATGTCATCTTACACCGACCAGACTAGCCATTGTCCATCCCATTCACCACAACTTGGACTGGTTCAGAGACAGCTTCGTACAAGCTAGGGACCGTTCAAAATTTAAGGAGTTATTTATGTACAAAGTAAGTGATCCCCCTGCATGTCATGTACAAAATCAATGACCCCCCTCCACCCCTTCTCATATTTTTAAGCATTTTTTTTATATTTGTGTGCACATAATTGCTTACCCCCTCCTCCAGTACTTGTGTACAAATTTGATGACCCCGGATCTCCCCAGAACAAAATGGGTGACGCCCCCACCCCCGCTTAAAATCATCATCACCCCTAGCCATCAATTATGAACGGTCCCCTACCATGATATAAATAGAATGTGACCTTCTTCCATTGTCAGGTACATGGTCACATGATCAGCTTCATGACCTAGATTGTCTGTTACAGTGGCATATGGCTTCATGCATGCATGCATTGTCACTTGACCTCATTTATGCCAGTGGCATATATTGTCTGTTGAAGTAACATTTGACCTACTGCAAACATGCATTGTCTGTTACATTCTCACGTGACCTCCTTTATGCTCTGCATTGCCTTATAAGTGACATTTGACCTACTGTATACATACACGGTGACATACACTGTCACGTGACAATTTTAGTGTTACAAGACCTATTTCACATCATACATTGTTTAATATATAAATCAGTTGCAAATGACCTATTCCATGCCCTACGTTGCCTTCCACACTGCCACATGCCTTCTCTGGTGGTAAGTATTGACTGCAACAGCGCCATTTGACCTGTTTTATGCCTATTCGCGAACACCTTGTACCGTCAGTGATTTTCAGTGGTCCATTAATGAAATTTCACATAATTTTCACAATCTGTTTCAGAGGATAGTCAAAACGTGTTACTCTTTTGCAGTGTTGATTTAAATTACATTTTTGACTACAACAGTGTTCACCTTGACCTCTGACCTCTGACCTGACCTGATCTGACCTGCCACATAAGCAACATTCCCGGTCACAATGCGTCTTCGATGCCTTTCACTGACTGCAATGTCCCGTTATATATGTATTGGCCTACAGTGCCTACTCGCTGCCTCCATTGCCTACTACAGTATATAAATACCCTATGTATTCTGTTGCAGATGGCGAAGAGACGGAGAAAGAATCCTCAAGAGCAAGTACATGCTTCTCACCGTTGTGCTATTCTGTGTCACTGACTGTGCCCTTGTTCTCGGAGAGCTCATCCTTGACCTTCATAAGGTCAAAGGTAAAGGCCATCCATCTTTCATCAATATGTTTCTTAATAACTCTTATTAATAATAATAATAATAATGTCCATTTGTATGGCGCCGTTTCCACACACTAGTGTATGCTCAAGGCGCCCCGTGTGTACAGCTAAAAAACAACTGCAGGAATTGTGCAAGTCATTCGTAATATTTCCGGAAAAGATGGGTCTTCAATGAAGATTTGAATAAGTCAAGAGATTTTGCTGTTTTGATGGTTATGGGAAGACTGTTCCACAGTGAAGGAGCAGCATAGCTGAATGATCTGTGACCATAGTTCCAGCAAATGTTTTATCCCAGCAAGTACATCAATATTTAATACCCATATTTAATACACATGGGAAAACAAAAATGTTACTAAGAAGAGGTGTATTAGTGCAGAGCCATATTCTGAGAAAAGATATTCATGTTGTTTAATGAACCTGCTGATGTACTGCAATGTTCTACGGTAAACATCTCCAATTACGTTATTAAAAAGCAGTTTTTCACAGATATCAGTCAAAGATTGAAGAACTGTTTGAACAGGTTTTTATGCCCGAGCAGCAGTTACGTTAACTTAAGGGCTTGATGGTAGGTGGGTTTTGTCATAAATATTTCAACCAGCCTCAATAACGTAATAGTATTGTATTGATTTCTCTATAATGTGTAATATTTTATATGATTTTGTTTGAGTCACGCAACTGTGTTCATCAAATCATGTCTGAGAAAGAGCAAAAACATGAATCTGGAAATTGAACACAGCCTTCTTATTCTCATTGAAGAAAGATGTTCCTTCGTTCGTGCTAAAGTTGGATTGACGTTCGGCTGGTATTGTGGTTTATCAGACACGAGTATCGCCGATCAGTGGGGGCAGTGATCTCAGAAAAGAATGTATTACCTATTTTTAATCTAAGTTACAAGGGTGAGCCAAAGCTGTAGACGCTAAAACCTTTAACCCTTAATCCGATGAGAACGGATTCAACTCCAGTATTCTCCTAATTATGTCCATTGGCCTGTCTGTGCCCAGCCAAGTTCCCGAGGTCTGCTGCGCTAACGCCTCGACACTGATTAAGCGTCAGCGCAGCAGACCCCGGAAACCAGACTGGTCTGTGCCTTACTTGTTCGCTTCACCGCCGTGTGCATTACTTACGTGCATGATTCTGATTGGTCACATTAGAGGTTTCAAATTAAAATCACAAGTTCGTGCTCTGTTTCACGCTAAAGGCCATCCACCTTTCATCAATATGTTTCCTAATAACTCTTATCCCAGCAACTGTTTCATAAGGATCATCTACAAGTAACCTAGTTCTAGAACAAATCGAGTGTGCATATTTGGTAAATAATAACAAATGAATTATATGGTTATTATCATTCATAAACATACTTTATTTATGAGATTGACGTCACGGACGAAGACCAAACACTGGCTTGTCTCCGGGATAATTATAAACTCCTGAATTGGCCATTGAAATTCAGAGGCTGCAGATTTTGAACACAAAGCAATGTTGTTTGTATGGTTTTTGATGGAAGTCACATTTGGAACACCAGGCTTCATTTCCACAAACCAATAAATCATTTTAAATTGACTTAAATGTATATAATCGCCCATGCACCGATTCTGTCTTCCCGACCCGACCCCATTAAGAACATGGATCATATTGTTCATATTTAGAAATCGGAAATTAAGTAATCAGGTGTATTTATATGAATCGATCACTAACATATTTCAACATCAGCATATTTTGGCTTATTTCAACATCAAATATAGAACATTCCTTTAATTCTGATAATACTTCGTTCTGAAAGTTTTGATGTCGTAAAGGTGAGATCGGAATATAGCAAGACGTCTTCACCAGTTGCCATAATAGTTGCGGAGAGAAACACAGTAAAATGCAGAAAAAATCTTTCTCTTTCTTATTCCTTGCGCAGAAAATATACTTGTTCACTGAGGGCGTGCCCTACAGTTATCGACAACCATAATTTAGCTAAATTGCATTCCGATAAACACCGAGTCACCATCGATTTTAAACTAAAATTATAATGTTTTCACTTCTGCTAGTTAAACCTTAATGCATGTATTGATGTTTTAATGTATGTATTGATCCACGTAGGACAATCATACTGCATATTCCTCGACAAGCTGAAAGCGAAAATGATGAAGGAGTCTTTTTGCACAGGCTATTCTTTGTTATGTCTTCCTCTATGCTTTCTGTGGAGTTCTATGTTTTCCATTATACAATTGATTCATCCATTTGACGCTAGTGATGTAGTGTCAACTATGGCACTCAAGTTTGAAAATCTATACTCTGTTCAATCAGAACTCATTGTTTGGACGCCTGTATTACAACACCAGCTTGTTAACTGCTTCTGGAATGTTTTACAATGTCTTGTATCTGATTCAAGTGTTTATTGGTCTGCATTAAGCGCTGGAAATAAGGAATTACAGGGTAAAATAAATCACCTTGAAACAATGGGCACCGCTTAAACGACAGTGTCCGATCGATGTTTCTTTTCATCAGAAATATCATTGCTTGTCTGTGAGAATGAGAACAGTGAGTGAGTGCGTTTAGTCTTAGCAATATTTCAGCTATATGGCGGTGGTCTGTAAATAATCGAGTCTGGACCAGACAATCCAGTGATCAACAGCATGAGCATCGATCTGCGAATGAGAACAGATTCCTCAGATGTTCGAATTTACTTGTTCGTATATGAAAGTATGCCCAATGTATTCATTCCTTCAGAACTTCGTTGAATTCTTGTACCTTTCACATTAATATATCAGAGATGTTATTGTATGCTACCAGTGGCGAATGACGTCTTTTTGTGAGGAAAGTGATGTTTTATTGTAACGTGTTTTGTGTTGGTGCCTAGTTTGTCAATAAATTTCTTGTGATTTTCTCTGAGGCTGGGAACAAGGGACCTTTTAGATTTGCCTTGGACTGTTTGTTGTCGAAATATGTTTCACTATTTGGCATCAACAGAAACACTCAGGGTAGCCAATGATCCAAATCACCTTCATCTTAATCATCTTCATCAGCATATGTATGGATATACAATTCGTATGACACACAATGAATAATGAAATGCGGAATAGATAGAGTTAACAGGGATTCGATTCAAACGTTTCAATAATTAACACGTATATCACAAGTGAATAATATTTTATTGACCATCGTCCTTCAGAATAAACAATTAATCTGATAATTAACAATTAACCACGAAACCAAGAAGCATGCAAAACCAATGGAAACATTACGATAATATGAAGTCTTTGATCTATTTTAGTGAATACGTGCATCAGTGTTTTCTCATCTCACAAATCCCTTCCTCTTAATCGGTATGTGTTGCTGATCGACTCAAAAGCAAGAAGCCGCCATTGCATCTGGATAATGTCGTAATATACGATATATCGAGACAGTAATGTTCGAGTAAATGAGATGTTACTTCAAAACAATGACGAGGCAGTGGGGTATCCTAGTGGTTAAAGTGTCCTCTCGTCACGCCGAAGACCCGGGTTTGATTCCCACATGGGTACAATGTGTGACTTCAATTTAAATTATTTCTGATGTTGCCCACCGTGATATTACAATAATATTACTAAAAGCGGCGTAAAACTAAACTCACTCACTCACTCCTTAAGATTAACTTAAATTATTTTGTCAAATATTTCGGATTTCTAAGAATGTTAATGGAGTATGATATGAGAGTACGTCAAGCAACTTTAATCTGAACCGTAACTTTCGCAATTCAACAAATGGCTAACAGCACATCCGAACAAAGCAACGTCCTTGTACATATAGGTCAACGTTTCATGAACACGTCATTAGATTTTATGTCCAGCCAGACAGGTTTTGGATTAACGAGGTTCCATTATATTCCGTGATTATATCATGTTATCACTTTATACAAGTTATTTTAGTCAGTTTGATTGGTCGGTAATTGTCATATATCCATCCTCACTACTGAATTAGTGATAAGAACTAGATTACGGTATTATATTGTTATTAAGGTACACAAATAACTCAAGTGCAAACCCGTGAAGATCAGGATTAGAATTGATCTTCAGTAACCCATGCTTGTCGTAAGAGCAGACTAACGGGATCGGGTGGTCAGGCTCGCTGACTTGGTTGACACATGTCATCGGTTCCCAATTGCGTCGATCGATGCTCATGCTGTTGATCACTGGATTGTCTGGTCCAGACTTGATTATTTACAGACCGCCGCCATACAGCTGGAATATTGCTGAGTACGGCGTAAAACTCAACTCACTCACTCATAAGTGTAATCTGATGCCTTATGTAATTGTCAGCAAGCTCATTACTACTGACGGAACACGTGATAGAAACAACAAGCATAAAACTACAGGTGTTCTGTATTAAAATGAAGACGATAATATATTACTATGTCACGAAGCCAATCCAAAACACAAATGCATGTAGCGTACTTTTATCCCGAATCTGGGTACGTCAGACATCAAACCCTCCCTCAAACACCAAACTGTACAACGGTGCTCCTGCCGACGTTGACGTCAACGGTTGATGCGATTACGTCAGCAACTGACACCTCCCCATCTTGTATGGCATGGCGTGAAGCAAGACCATTATTAACGCTCTGACGTCGGACTAAATTCTTCTCAGAATTAGCCGAAGAAAAATCGTTTTGTGGCGTCACGATAAAATACATGTTACTAACGAATCGGACCTGAAAATATGAATTATTTATCAAGAGAGTGTAGTTAAATACAGAAGCGATTAGTTTTCAAATTAATATTTCGTTTCGTCCTATTTCCAAAGCTGCCTCACAATCCACTGGTAAAACATCGACGCATGCGTTGGGACTACAAATTATAAAAGCTAGTGAAAGTACCGTTCCATTTTAATTACTGTCAATTTAGAATCACGTGATGGTTATACATCTATCCGTGGAAACTTTTCTGCGAATTTTGGCAAAACTTTTCATCAAATCGATATCCTCTTGCATTTTGGAACTAGTTTGCAGATCTGAC